CTGAGGCAGCCTTGCCCCAGTGTCAGCATTCTAGCCCATCCTCCCAGTCCTTCAGCCCCTCAGCTGGTCAGGTCTGGATGAAGGCCCTGGGGGGGCCTGGAGACAGCTCACCTGTCGTCAGGTGGGAGGTGTGGTTATTGCAGTTTCACATCACCCTGAAGTCCAGCTCTAGGCAAGGCTGCAGATCCGTGCAGTCATGGTGATGTGGTCCCGTTCAGCTTTTCAACAGAAGGTATCTCACAAGAGGTAGAGGAGAGCTGGGGATACCTGGCGATGGCCAGGTCCCGATGACCTGGGGCAGCTGCAGCTCTGTCCTCATGAAGGGAGGGTAGTTGCAGAACTGGCTCCCGAGGCAGCTCTGAGTTCACCTGGTGACACCATACCAGGCATCCCACCGGCCCAGTGTAGCAATTGGGTGCTAGGGCAGGTGGGGTTCATGTGTGTGGATGGTGTGATCCTGGAGATGCTCTGGCTGAGCACTCAGGGGCTGTCCAACCCTCCACCAGGCTTGGAACTATGGAGCAGGTGATGCCCAGGGTGGCTCCTGGCTTTGACACTGGGACGAGAGACACTGATATGCTGCATCCTCAGGGAGCGGGTGGGAAGATGGCTTTCCCCTAGAGGCCACCCCAAGCCAGCTGCCTGTGTCTCCTGAGAGAGAGAGAGAGAGAGAGAGAGAGAGAGAGAGAGAGAGAGAGAGAGACAGGCAGTAAGAGGAAGGGCCCACGGACAGGCCTGGGAGGGGCTGTCACTTTTCTGTCTCGAGCTCAGCAGTGCCCTGGGCTGCTTTGTGGCAGGATTGTAAGTCTTTTCCAGGAGTTCTGTCCTGCCTCATGGAAGGTGCTAAGTGCCCAGGGGGATCAGGGTGATGGGGCAGGGGTGTTGGTTCCACTTCATTTGAAATTAATGTATTATGTGCTGATTTTTGAATTTTTGACTGGGTGTGGTGGCTCAAGCCTGTAATTCTAGCACTTTGGGAGGCCAAGGTGAGGGGATGGCCTGAATCTGCAAGTTGGATTCAGCCTGGGCAACATGGTGAGACCTCATCTCTACAATAAATTGAAACATTAGCCAGGCATGGTAGTGCACGCCTGTAGTTCTGGTTACTTGGAAGGCTGAAGTTAAAGGATTGCTGGAACCTAGCAGGTCGATGCTGGGGTGGCCATGAGTGTGCCACTGCACTCCAACCTGGGTGATGGAGTGAGACTCCAACTCAGAAAAGTAAATAAATAAACAAGCATTTTTTTTTCATGTCATTTAAAACATTGAGATATAACCCACACATCATAATATTTGCCCTTTCAACGTGCACAGTTCGGTGGTCATGGGCATATTCACAGTCATGCAGTCAGCCCCATGGTTAGCCCCTCCGAAAAGGAGGGTGGAGCTGTTGGTACCCTCCAGCTGACCACACCTTTGCTCTCTGACATTTCTCGTGTATTGGTGTTAGAAGCTGCCTCTCATGAGCCTGGATTAGAGATGGGGTGGCTCCCCCAGGTTGAGTTCTTGACCTTGACCTTGCCCTTCCCTTGACTGGGTTCATGGCCTTAAACTCCACTCTGTGGGACTATGGGACAGTTATCCAAAATTAGGGAGGTGCAAACCTGTGGAGGTTTGTCAAATCACGAGTGAGGTTGGTGAAGGGAGCGGTGACTGGACCACTGCTGTTGCTCTGTCTGGACACAGCCCTGGCAAGGACTAAGGGCCAAGTGGCCATGTACTGGGCTCCCCTGAGATATGGCTACCTAGTGTGGTCACCTGATGTGGACCCTCCTCCCCAGCCCCACACTTTAGACAGGCTTTACTACAAAGTCAGACCCTAGTGCCTCCCTGGGACCGCAAGGAAAGGCCAGCTGGAAAAGCAGCCAGGACTCCTCTCCCTGTCCCTTCGGCAGCTGGGCTGCCCCCACCGCCCATGACTCTGGGCTCCCCCAAACCTCAGGGTTCTGTCTCAGGAGCACTGCCTTGGTCCAGGCACAGTCAGAGCAGGCCTGGCCTTCAGGTCCCCTGACCTTCTTGAGGGGATCTTTCAGCTCTGGACCCGGTCCAGGAACTGTCCAAGCTAAGGACTTTCATGTGAAAACTCCTCAGGCACAGCGTGTGCCTGGACCCTACGGAGGAAGGCTAATGGGGATATCACACCTCGGCCCAGAGCCATGCAGGTACCAGGTGCAGGGCAAGTGGGAAGGGGGACAGGTGCCAGGTGCAGGGCCAGTGGGAAGGCCAACCGCAGGGTTGCTGGACTTGTTGGGCAGCCTGCAACCTGTCCTGAGAGGCTACTCCATCGCCCCTTTAAGAAGGGTACCGCGTCCCCTCCCCCCCAGCTGGTGCAAAGCCCCCAGGAGGTGATGGGGTGGCGGCAGGGGGAGACGAGGCGCAGCTGTTATCGGGAGGGGGTGGGGTGGAGGGGGTGGGGTGGAACCGGAGGGGGTGTCCAGGGGCTGTGGGGCGGGGCCGAGGCGGGGAGAGGGAGAAAGGGAGAGAGAGAGAGAAAGAGCCATTTCAAGGAAGTTTAGAGTAGAATTCTTGGGCATCTTGGCTGTGCTGTCCGCTGCTCAGGCACATGGGGTGGCTAAACTGGTGAGGGCCAAGGCTGCCTTTCCTTTCCTGAGGAAGGAAGGTAATGCACAGAGTTCCCGGGAGGTGCTGTAGTGGCGTAGAGGGGTGGGCATGATGGGCTCTGGGGTGGTCTGTAGGGCTCATGCTGGGTCAGGCCCAGTGGGGGAGGTAGCCTGGGCCCTGCAGCAGGTGGGGGAGGGGGTGTTGCCCAGAACTCTGGCAAGGCTCAGAGCAGCTGGACACTGTCTTTCCATGAGAGGCCCCTAGTGGCAGGAATCCCTCAGGAGGCTGGGGGTGGGGCTGGAAGCCTGAATGGGGGAGGTGCTTGTCTGTCTGGCGCGATGACCAGGAGAAGGACAGGGATGAGCCCGGGTTGACACTGAGGCTTGGATCCTAACCAGGGGCGGCTGCCCTTGTTTGGGTGTCAGGAAGCACTTGGGGGGGATGGATCTGTGACTTTGGTTTCCGCGTGTTTAGTTTGGTGTGAGGGTGGTCTCAGGTTGAAGGTGGGCTGGGATTTGGGCTTGGGGCAGGACAGATGATGCTCCAGTGTCACGTGTGAGGTGAGGGGCAGTTGTGTTACCTCTTTCACCCCTGTAGGGGGCCATGCACAAATGGGCACCTTGCTGGCTCCCACAGAACCCTGCGTGTATGTTTGCAGCTAGAAGGGAAGGGTCATCTTGGCTCAAGGGCAGCAGGGCTTCCTATACCCACAGGGGCTTCTCCAGGGACTAGGGAGGGTCATGACTGAAATGTGGCAGAAAACTGTCAAAGGCCTTTTGTTTTGGCCTGCCAGCAGTGGGGCCCTCACCCATCCCTCCTCTGCTTCATGGAGGAAGGGACAGGTGTTCCCCACCCCCCTGGTCCCCATGTGCGGGAGCCTGGGGGGGGGTCCTAGGAAGAGCTGAGTGGGGGAGTCCTGCGACTTTTCTCTCCCTCTCTCTCTTTTTTTGGACAAGCGTGAGAATTTCTGTCACCAAGCTACAGGACAAAGGGCCCAAGCATGTCTTCTGGAGGCGTCTCCCCAAGAATAGTGAGAACTTTGCCTGTGCCGAGCCTGCTGCCTGCTGCCGCTTCCCAGGCTGTGCTTGCTGTGTAGACAGGATTAGAGGCAGGGGCCCAGGAGGGATCTGGATGGGTCCTGCAGGACCACCAGGGTGATGTCACTGCCTTGTGAGTGTGCCGGGTGTCATGGGTCGCTGACCTTGGGTGCCTTGGCCTGCAGATAGCAAAGACTCCTGCATGACCTCGCCCACACCACCACCACCTGTGCTGCAGGGTCCCCGTTCCCAAGGAAGACCCCACCTGTTCCTCAGGGAGAGACCCTCTAGCAGAGGCATGGACTGGGCCCCACTGTTAGCCAGGACCTCACAGGGGAGGCCAGGGCAAGAACTGCCCTCTGGAGGACAGAGGGACCATCCTCACTCTGTTTCCTGCTCTGTTCCTGGCCCCCAGTAGGCTGGGCAAGGCAGATGTCCTTCAGGTGGGTTAGGTCCTTGGGGTGGGAACAGGAGTCCAGGACTCAGAGTTTAGCTCTATTCTGTGTCTAGCACAGATGCCTGGGTGGGTGCTGTATGCACGCCTCTCTCTCCCTCTTCCGGGACACCCATCACAGTGTAGACTCTTCAAGCCGGGCCCTCCACCTCTAGGCTTTTGCTGAACCCATCCTTCCACTTGGCGTTCCTCCCTGCCACTACCACACCTGCATCCCTGGAGTCTGCTGAAACTGACCCCTCAGTGGCTGAGGGGCCTCATATGGCCACTCTCCATGGAGACTGTCAGTGTGGGACCCTGAGGGCCTGTGCTGAGCCCACCCTCCCATGGCCACTGCCTAGGGTCAGGGCTCTTGGGGGACCTCTGCCCTCAGATGCTAGGCTCTTTTCCCAAAACATATGCTGTAGAGAAACTTCAGCGAGCCCTACCTCAGCCCAGGTGTGTCTACATGTTGGAGGGTTGTGACAGTCCCTTGCTTTCTCAGAGGGCCAGCCCAGCCCATCTGGGACCCTGAGGGTTGTGGAGCGGCTCTGTCCACATCGCACCCAGCTGGAGGACGTGGAGACATGGCCTTTGGGAGACCCTGCTGCCCCTGCACAGCAAGGACAGCTCCGTCCTGAATGTGTGGCTGGGACTAGGGTTGTTTCCAGCGGTGGAACCTGGGTGAGTGAGGCTTCTGGCCCACAGTTACGCATCTTAACTGTCTTGTTCAAGTTGCAGTCACGGGTCAGGGATGGGGGGCCCATGCAGCCCTTGGAGTGACAGCTGGGGAGAGGCGACAGTAAGTCCACTGGGAAGTTCCTGATGTGCATGGATGCTCTCCTGCTCCTGCCTTCCACCCAGCAGGCCCTACCCACTCGAGCTCCCACCTCCAGCTGTCTCTCTAGGGGACAGCCCCCCAGGACATGCTTGGAATGTCCCCTCCCTGAGACTTCCTGGAAACCACCATGCCTGCTTGGGCTGTCCACGGGTGAGTGTGCCCAGGGCATGCCCACAGCAGCTGTATCCTGGGGGCTGGTCTGGGGTCCTGTAGGGTTCCAGATATAGGCCCGGGGCAGCAGAGATGAGCCAGAGCAGGGAGAGGGTGGAGTGTCCTGGCCGGGCTGGGATATCTGTGACCATGAGGCAAGTCCTCAAGCCCTCCCCCTGTTACTCCCTCCCCAGTCACGGTATAAGGAGCTGAGTGGGGAATGGGGTCGCCCCACACCCAGTCTGCCCTCGTCCCAAGCCCCTCCCAGCTGAGCCTCCTCTTGGCTCCTGACTATCTAGTCTTGGTGAGGGGCAAACTATACCTTCCTGCTGTGAGGAGGCACCAAGGCCATCAGAGCTCTCCTGCCCAGGACTTAGCCTCTTGGGCAGTGCCCCCAGCCCACACGCCAGAGGCCACCCTGGGCCGGGGCCTGTTTCCTTGATGCTCCAGTGCCCCACGGAGCACAGGGAACAGTGGGCCCACTGTGGAGTCTGTGGAACGCAGCAACGGTATGCACCCCAACTCGATGGGCTGTCCCTTCATTACTGCTGCCCTTGCAGGCTGCGACCAGTCCCTTTCAGTCCTCCCTGAACATGCCCCCCTTGCTCCTGGGAAGGTAACTGGGAGGGAGTGGATTCCACCTGACATTCTCTTGGTTCCTCTATACCAGCACATGGGATGGAGCTGGTGATGAATGAGTGAATTAATGAATGACAGCTTTTAGAGTCATGATCTGGTCAGAGTCAGTTGGTTTTCCCTAAGTATAAAGTACTAACTTAAAATTCATTGGGGGGCACAGTGGTTCATGCTTGTAAATCCCAGCACTTTGGGAGGCTGAGGTGGAAGGATCATTTGAGGCCAGAAGTTCAAGACCAGCCTGGACAAAATAGCAAGACATCAACTCAAAAAAAAGCCAAACTTCTTAGGTGTCTCTCCTTCCTTCCCAGTGGTCATGCAAATGTCCCCAAAGTGGAGGCAAGAGCAGCCTCACCACCACTGTCCCCAAAGCCCTGACTCTGCTGGTAAGGGAAGGCTGCTCCCTGGAGGCAGCGGGGCCTGGGGCCTTAGATGCAGCACCCCATGTGGACCCTTCTGCCCCTCCTCTGCTGTTTTTGGAGTTAGTGTTTTGTGTCTGTCGCTTGGGCTCAAAATCCGTGAGTTGGAACTATTAGAATAGCCTCCTCTCTGCCCCTGTGTTACATTCTCCAGATGGGGAAAGCTATGAGAGGGAGCTTACACCAGGGAGGGTACCCCCACAGGGATGCAAAAGGCCACTCAGACTTACTTGGAGATTTTTGTTGAAGTCAAGCACACAGTAGGTGCTCAATGCTTGCTCAATGGCGTTCTTGAACTGGTGTTATGGCCCACTTGCCATGGCTCCCAGAAGGGCTCAGATGGTGTGTCTGCAGAGTAACAGATGGGAGATGGGTGGGGAGTGGTAAGAGACCTTGGCTCAGGCCTGGCAGGTGGCCTGGGCCTCCTGGCTACCCGTCATGGTACCCATCCCCAGGTTGCGGCCCTGGAGAGACAGGCATTTGACTTCCTGGGCTTCCAGTGGGCATCCATCCTGGCCAATTTCATCCACATTGTCGTGGTCATCCTGGGGCTCTTTGGCACCATCCAGTATCAGCTGCGCTACACTGTAATTGGTGAGTCCCCTGCGGGCTAGTGAGCAGGCAGGAGGGTGAGTGAGTGGGGCAGTGTTGCCACTGCAGGCCCCATCCTGGTTGAAACTGCCAGCCAACCCCCAAGACCTAACCTACCCACAGCCTGGGCATCTGGAACTCCAACCTAGATGATGCAAGTTTCCACGGCTGCCCTTGAGCCTTGTGGCTGCCAGGGCCCAGGCATCTAGCACCTTCACTGTTCACTCCCTCAATAGCCAGGGGTGTGGGTGCTTCACAGATAGGGAAACTGAGGCACAGAGCCCTGGCCTGTGGCCCTGGGCGAGATTTGGCCCCCACAGCCCTCAGGGCAGCTATGGCTGTCCTGTCTGTGAAAGGCCCAGAGAGCATCCAGAGTGCTTTGCCCAACTGGCCAACACCTCTCCTGGTGCAGAGTACAGCCCTGAATGTAAACCCATGTCTGCAGCAGAGGCCCCAGTGGTTGATGTGTGGCCCAAGACAGCCCCAGGCGGGTGTGGGTGAATGGGCATGGCCATGGCCCCGGGAATTTCACAGGCTCCCTACCTGGCAAGCAACTCCAGCAACACCACTTGGGCTGGTTTTGGGTGCTCTGTAGTGGGGGCTGGTCCTGCCCTGCTAGGTGTTTGCCACCCTGGACAGGCCATAGCGTCTCTGGGCAAGGACACTGTGTCAGGACACATCCTGTGGCTGCCTGGAGCTGGCTTCCCAGCCCCCATCTCCTGGTATCCCCATGGGGAGGCTCTGCGACCTGCCCAGGGTGGGCTCCGGGACCCCTCTCCTCCACACAGAGCACCTGGGGCCAGCGGGCAGGGCTCATGCCTCAATCTTCCCATCTGTAAAGCAGAGATGGTGACAGCCTAGCCTTCTCTCCCTAGTATGCAGTGTGGGCAGCTGTCTGGGTCACCTGGAATGTCTTCCTTATCTGCTTCCATCTGGAGGTGGGCCTCTCCAAGGTGAGTGCAGATACCCCTCTGTGGGGTCCTGGCAGTTGCCACATAATGCCTGATGTGTCTGCCTGTTCGTCGCCAACCCAAGGCAGGGGCTTGGTCTATGCTCAGCTTTGTCCCCAGCACCCAGAACAGCCTGGCCCAGGTTGCCACTCAGTCAAGGTTTGGGGGAAAGGCCAGTGATTTGGTGGGGGGGATGAGATGTGTCCACCAGGTCTGAGGGTATTGGTGGGGTGGGGAGGGCACCAGGAAGGATTCTTGGAAGAGGTACCTCAGAGCCTGAAGGATAGTCAGGGCTGAAGTCCAGGGAGTAGAGGCCATCCCGGCAGAGGCAAGCTGGCAGATGGACACCACCCTCCTGGGGCCGCGTGGGACCCTCAGCCTTGTGCTGTGTACACTCCAGCAACCCCCGGGGCTGATCAAGACTCGCTCCTCCTGGTGCGAGGGGAGACCACTACAGGGTGTCGCTGGAGCCTTCCTAACCAAGGCTGTCTCAGGACTTTGTCTGATGCTCGGAGGTTGCTTCTAAGAATCAGGGTGGGTGCAGTTTCATCCACGTGCCTGGCTGCTCCTTGGCCAGAGCCAGCATGGGTGGGCAAGAGGGCAGGTGCCCAGCAGGACAGACCAGCCCCTGCTTTGTGGGCCCACAGCAAGGAGACTGCCCAGAATCCATACACATGTCAGGTGGCAGCTTTGGCTAGAGACGTGAAGGAGGGGTCCAGAGCACAGGAGAGCAAGTCCTGAGAGCTGACCTGGCAGGGGGCCTTCTTGGAAGAGGGAGCATGTGGGCTAAGGACAGGCAGAGGAGCAGCTGGAAGGCCTTGGTGCTCCCCCTCCACCAAGGCTGGAGCCCAAGGGGGCAGAGGGGTGAGGGTGGGAGGATAGGACCAGCTCCACTCCTCAGTAGCGTCCACCCAGGCTGCAGTAGGTGGGGCTGGCTGCCTCCTGAGTGCCAGCCTATCCTTCCCCCTCACTTTTAGGATAGCGAGCTCCTGACCTTCAACCTCTCCCGGTACTGCTCCTGGTGGCACAAGCACTGGCCGGGCTGTCTGTGTGAGGAGTCGTCCACAACCAGCCTCGGGGCACGGCATGGCCAGGCCCTGGTGTCAGGTACTGGCTGCACCCTGGAGCCCAGCTACGTGGAGGCCTTGCACAGCGGCCTGTAGATCCTGCTGGTGGTGAGTGTAGGGGTGGCTGGGTGTGGGGATAGGGAGGGGACGCAGAACTGGGACTCACCCTACCCAGGCCCAGGGCCTTCCTCTGCTGGGGTGGAATACCCTTCCTGGTCCCCCAGCCCTGCCCAAGAGGTCAAGGCATCACAGGTGGGTTTCCAGGTGGGCTCCCAATGCCGGAGCCTCAGTGCCCTCCTCTGCGAAATGGACTCAGGACCAATGTCAGCCCCAGCTCTGATGACTGGTGAAGAGCTAAGCATGAGAACTGTGACTCTGAGGGACAGGACCCTCTGTGGGGATCTGGATGAAAGCTCCCACTGTCTCCCCCCAGCCCCAGGACGGGCTGCAGGGGAAGGGTCAGACTCCAGCCTTCCCCAGGGGGCGCATGTTCTGCTCTTGGTGCAGGAGGGCAGGGGTACCAAGTTTAGTGAATAAAGTGCAGGACACCTGGTTAAATTTGAACTCCAGATAAATAACTTCAGGTCTGTGTTCCAGACCATGTTTTGAACATACTTACACCAAAAAATACTTATTGTGTCTGAAATTCAGATTGAACTGAGCATCCTGTACTTCATAGGAAACCCCAGAGAAGTGAATTACCATCACGCAAGACCTGGCTTGAGGGTCCACAGGGCTTGCAGGCTGTGTGCCTTCCTTCCTGGCCTGGCCCCTACTAGAACATGGTGCAAGTTTGCAGAATGAAACTCAGGCCAGTGCGTAGGGCAACCACCTGTGTGATTGTGGGTGTCGATGCCCTCCTCAGTCTGCCAGTGTTTGGACCCCAGTGATAGGTATCAGGCTATCGTGGCTCTGTAACATGCATAGTGTGGCTTGAGCTCAGGCCTGCCTTCCACCGTCCACATGGCAGAAGTACTGTCTCTATGAGCAGTAGTGGAGAGAGGCACGGTTGCCTTCCATGCATGTTTACAGACTCTGTTCCAAAGAAGAAGGTCGGAAAATGATGAAAGACCCCTGGCTGCCCCAGCCTCTGGGACGATGTGATGAGGTGGGGTGGGGGAAGA